CCTATGGTTTATATATGAGAACTCTTTCACTTCATGCATTCTGCTGGATCTTTTCCATACTTACTTTGGTTTTAATGATCTGCCCCCATGGTATTCCTAGGCCAAGAGAATATTAGTTTTTGGTGCCAAATAGTGTGAATAATTGATTTGTCGGTGCTAAGTAATGCTAATAATTGATTTCACGTTAATTGGTGTTTGTACATTTAACCATCTACAAAAAATTCAACTTTTATCCACAGGACCCTTACTACAGATTTAATGACCAGAAATACAGATGGATCTCTTTGGATAACTGGATCTATATAAAGGAATTTAAAATACCCTTTGGCATTAGGTACGTGTTTGTATGTGTTTATTTACCTTATTTATTTGCTCTTCTTTCTCTGTCTGAGCAGTGATCTTTTGTTTAGAAGTTAAATCACATTCAATAATGCCGTGTACTATAAAAGTTAAGAGAAATTTGTGTTTTGTTCTGTATGTGAGGACGCTCCCTGAGCATGAGGTTGTTTCTTAGTTATTTTCTAGTAATGGTGCTGGAGCCCGCCTCATGCCGGCCACTTTCTTTTGGCTACCTTTCTTGTCTCTGCTTCCTGGAATCAACGACGTTGTGGTTGTTGTCAGGCGCCCTCGACAAGGCCCCAACTCACAGTGACCCTGTGTGGAACACAAAGAAACCCGCCTGCTCCCGTGCCGTCCTCACAATTGTTACAGTTGAGCCCCTGGTTGTAGCCACTGTGCCAATCCATCGCTCCGAGGGTCTTCTTTTGCACCGACCCTCTCCATTACCAAGCACGATGTCTTTATCCAAGTGTTAGGGGTCGGCGACCCCTCAGCGGGGCGGATCCCGGTGCGGTGGAGTGGCGGCAATGCAGAGACCAATCTCACAGGTAGGAAGAGGCAGCGCAGCAGGTTTATTGAGCAGGACAGTTAGGAGACACTGGGGACAGGCCCCAGGGGGTCTACACTACCAACGGGTTGATCTGATCGTGGTGAGATGCAACCTGCAGCTGGCAGGCCCTTCCTGTGAGATGGCAGGGGCCCTTGAGCTTGGGACTGGGGTTTGTCTTTAAGAAGGTGGTTGTCTCTGGTTGGCTGGCACTCCACTATGCCCTTATTTGGCAGGGTCCTGGGTGCTCAGGCTCATGAGCTCCTGCCTCTGGTATAGGGTGACTCATCAGTTAGACCGGTCAAGTGGCTTTCCTTGTCCTTGTCTTAAGAAACTTGCCCCTCCTGGTATGTGCAAAACAGGTGAGACAAAGTCTTGCCATCCCCGCTTCTAAGGGGCTTTCGGCTGTATTTCTTCCAAGCCAGATTTATGATATTGTTGAGTAGAAACAGAGAAGTGTTGTTTGTTCTGTGTGGTGCTATTCTGCCCTTGAGACTATGGCTTTGACCTTACTTATGCAGCCAAGAAGAACAGGAGGGATATTGTTTTGAGCTATGGTCAATGTTACTGTAAGCAGGTTTTTCCATGTGAGAAGGAATGTCACCCACTTACATATGCCACCAAACCCATTGCCATTAAAGTTTATTTCAATCCATCCAAATCTATATAAGGTTTATGAGAGTGTAAATCTTTATGGGAGCAGTCAGCCTCAAATTTTTCGCCCGGAGCAGTTGGTGGGTTTGAACTGCTGCCCTTGAAGTTAGCAGCTCAATGTGTATCCCATCATTATTGCTAAATTCAAAAACAAAAAAAACCTCGTTGTGCCTTTTATAGTATCATTTTTATGGGTAATTATTTTCTAATCTCTTAAAAGGAAAATAAAGTCAGAATATTGAACCGGATACCATGGTGTCACTGTGCTTTAGGCTCTAGTTTCTAGATCATATTTTCAGCACCTCTGTTAACAGAAGGCCCCTGACAAGATGGATTGACACAGTGCTGCAACAACGGGCCTACACAGGAGAAGGATTATGAGGGTGACACAGGACTGGGCAGTATTTTCTTCTGTTGTACAGAGATAGGGTCACCACGAGTCTGAACCGACCCCATGGCACCTAACAACAACCTTAGCCATCCTGGAGGAGCCCTGGTGGTGCAGTGGTTCAGCAGTGGACTTCTAACCATGAGGTCAGCAGTTTGAGACCACCCGCCACTGTGGGAGAAAGATGAGGCTTTCTGCTCCCGTAAAGAGTTACCTACTCAGAAATACACAGGGGCAATTCTACTCTGTCCTCTCGGGTCTCTGTGATTCAGTATGGGCTCAATGACAGGGAATTGTGAACGAGTGGCCTTATCTCACCTGGAACTCAACACACCCAACATTGAACCAATTGCCATTCCTTCTTCGAGCTAACTTCAGTTTCTAACAATTTAGTTGTTTCTCTTAATGTTACACCATTTTTCGAGTCTCTGCTGCTTACATTTTTTTACTTATATCTTTCATTCATCTCTCTGAATTCAGTCTGTTTCTGAGTAATGTAAAATTTTGCCTCTTGGTATATCTTTCTAATACTTCCACATTTTCCTACATTTTTATTAGTGGATGCTTGGAATCAGGCCAAAGCTGCCTGAGTCAATTTCCTGCATGTCTTTTTATTTTCCAATATATTCATATAGACACTTTAGACAATCATTCCAAAATATTGCTTTTGTCATGATATGTTCTTGCTGGTCAATGAATTCCTTTTGCTTGGCAAGTCAGATTTAAGTTTCTCTACATGTCTGTGAGAATCTTGTTTAATTTTCCCTGCCCCGGGCCCACTCTGTAGTCCTTCCCCCCATACCCATCCAGCTTTCCCCCCTTTGCTCTCAGCACAAAGTTTGCAGAATCAAGCCTGTTACCTTAATGTTACTAATGTTGTTAGCACCTCCTTACCTTGGTTTGCTTTTTCACGGGCGTCTACCCTTAGACCTAGGCATTTACACTCATTTTTTTAAAAATGGCCTCTTTTTTGAGATATAATGTACATACCATACAATTTACCCATTTAAGTTACACACTCCAGGGGTTTTTAGTATATTCATTAGTATATTCACAGAATGTACAACCATCCTACAGCTTTAGAACATTGTCATCATTTCAACAAGAAAACTCTATGTATTAGTATCACTCCCCATTCTTCCCACGCTCCACCCCACACTCCAGTCCTTAACACTCACACCCAGCCTCGACGACATTCCATCACTATGGAGTTGCTTCTGCAGCTTTCTTTTTTCTTTTTTAATCATTTTATTAGGGGTTCATACAACTCTTGCAGTTTTCTTATAAACAAAATCAGACAATATGCTATCCTTTGTGACCTGCTCCTTTAATTACTTCACTTTTTAAAAATGAATACTCAATAGGATAGACTTTCCCTGTTTTATTTAGCCGACCCATCTTTACGTTACTGTTTCTTTCTGAAAACCTGCCTTAATGACAGAAATGCTGATCTGATAGCACTTACAATCAACCCAGTCGACTCTTTAAGTACTTTAAACTACTTTAGTTCCCTGAAGGCTTAGCAGAGCGCAGGGCATATAATATTAGCTCATAAATACTTGTTGGTTAATGCGTTCTCATGTGTGTCACTACATATACTACTTTGTGGAAATGGTTTTGCATCTCGTCTTTAACTGATTCTCATGAACACTTTGAAGTCTCCAGAGAGAAATTGGTGAGCTTGGGAATTTGGGACTCCTGACTTTACGGAGATTGATTATTACGGAGAGACAAGCTGGGTCACTCGAAGAACATAACAAAGGGGGTTAAACCAAGTCTTCTGAAAATTGTACTGGGAAGTGCTTTATACGATTGTATATTTTCTGGGAAATATTTATTCCCTTAGTTCTTACCTAATAAAATAAAAGGCATCTAAGGGAGTGGTATATACATCTTTTTAAAATAATCTTTTCTTTTTTTAGCCAGTGGCAAAAAGTAAATCTGATTTTCGAGAGCATTGATACAGTGGCAGAAATTCTGCTCAATAATGTTACGATTGGGAAAACGGACAACATGTTCCATAGATATGTAAGTATCTAATGGCATTTAATGAACAGGATAACTTAATGAGTGTTTGCATTGCTTGTTACTGTGAATAGAGAAAAGTAAGAGCTTAATTGGTCATGTAGACAAATTCAAGCTTTTTCGAGCACTGGTTAAGTTACTTTATTACTCTGAGCCTCAGTTGCCATATTTATAAAAATGATAAGAAGATTTGTATTGAGAAGTGCTTCTTACGTTAAGAATGTAAATTCTTAAGAAGTATACTCTGTACCCTATTGGGTTATTGTGAAAATGTAATGACTCATACGAAATAGTTGGCACTGTGCTTGACAAATACAAAGTGTTAAACAAATGCTGCTCCTTTTTCTGTTGTTCAGAATATCCAGAATATGCCTTGAATCCCTATAACATTTTGAAAGTGTCCATTGAAATACTGTTGTTGAATAGTTATTCAGAGTTTTATGCTATTTAATAGTTGATAATATTTTTAAAAAGCACAAATAAACTTTAGAAAAGGCACTGGTTTTGTTTTCTAGATTTGCTTAATTTAGTACTTCCTGTTATCTTGCTCTACCACTTGTCCGTCAGTTTGTCAGACTGTGGTGGCTTGCATGTGGCTGTGGTGCTGGAAGCTGTGTCTCCACTATTTCAAATACCAGCTGGGTCACCGAGATGAACAGTGCCAGTGGAGCTCCAGACTAAGGACAGACTGTGAAGGCGGCCCGCTTGTGAGGGGTTAGCCACTGACAGCCTCATGAATAGCAACAAAACATTTGCAGATATAGTACCGGGAGATGAGCCCTCTGATCAGGACACTCAAAACAGAAAGAACTTGCTTCTCAAAGTAGAGTCAACCAACATGACATGGATGGAGTAAAACTTTAGGGACCTTCATTGGCTGGTGGGGACCACTCAAAATGAGAAGAAACAGTTGCGAACATGCACTAATAAGTGGAAGGTGGAATGTACAAAACATGAATCTAGGAAAACTAGAAGTTGGCAAAAATAAAATGGAATCCATAAAGATCAATAATCCTGAGGACTAGTAAGCTGAATAGATTGGCATTGGCCACTTTGAATCAGGCAGCCATAAGGGCAACTATGCTGGTTGAGATACTTAAGGTTTATTGTGCCAGCCTGGCCAATAAACACATGTGGGGTTAATTGAAGGGTGGAGAGATAAATGGCTCAGTGAATCTCGCCTTTCTAGTTCTCGGGTCTCTTGCTCTCTGATCGTCGTCGGACCAGGGTGCAGCTGTCTTAGCCAGTTCCCTGCTTTAGCTGGCAAGGCTCACTTCCTGCAAGACCACCCCAAGAAGAATCTGCATGGACCTACCCTGATACAGCCCTGGGTGCTGCAAAAGCCGTGTGGAGACCCCTGCCAGCACTGAGATGCTTATACGTTCACTGATTCGGCTTTCCTCCTGCAGTAGGCATCATTGCATGTGTGTTTTGTGAGAATGAGGAGGACTTTGTGGATTGCTGTCGGACATATGGGCTAATGTTGGACTTGTGGGCTTGAGCAGCACTGGGTTGGGATGCTTTCTTAATGTACACTTACCCTTTATATAAAACTCTCTTATCCATATGAGTTTCTGTGGATTTGTTCTCTAGTCTACCCAGACTAACACACTGGTAAAGACAGATGCAAGAGGAATGGCACTGTACTCATCATCAACAAGAACATTTCAAGATCTAGCTTGGTGTTAAATGCTGTCTGTAATAGAATAGTACTATATGTTTACAAAGAAATCCAATTAATAAAATTGGTATTCAAATTTATGAACCAACCATTAAAGCTAGTGATGCAGAAATTGAAGAATTCTACCAACATCTTTGGACTGAAATTGATCAAACTATCAATCAAGCTTCATGGATAATTATTGGTAATTGGAATGCAAAAGTTGGAAACAAAGACGAAAGAACAATAATTGGAAAATATGGATATGGTGATGGAAATGAAGCTGGAGACCAGATGACAGAGTTTTGCAATAATAATGACTCCTTCATTGCAAATACCTTTTTTCAACAACATAAAGGGCAACTGTATCCATGGCCCTCAGAAAATAGAATATACAGAAATCAAATTGACTACACCTACGGGAGGAGATGATGGAGAATTTCAGCATCAGCAGCCAAAAAGAGGCCAGGGCTTAACTGTGGAGCAGTCCCACAGTTGCTCTTACATAAGTTCAAGTTGAAGTTGAGGAAAACGAAAAGTCCATGAGAGCCAAAATATGACCTTGAGTCTATCCCACTTGAAGTTTGAGACCATTTGAAGAACAGATTTGACTTATTAAACACCAATGACAGAAGACCTTACAAGTTGTGGATGACATAATGAAATGATCAAAGTGGATGTCAGAAGAGACACTGAAACTTGTACTTGAATATAGAGTAACTAAAGAAAATGGAATAAATAATTAAGTGAATAGTAATTAAATAAGCAACTGAACAGAAAATGTCAAAGGACAGCTCGAGACGATGAAGTATTATAAGGAAGAATGCCAGAAAAGGAAGAATACACTCAGCATATCTGAAGCAGAAAGAATTAAAGAAAAAAAATTCAAGTCTAGAGTTGAAATATTGATGGATTCTATGGGGAAAATATTGAATGATTCAGGAAGCATCAAGAGAAGATAGAAAATGTATAAATTGGTAGGGAGTCACTGTAGCAAAAAGAATAGGTCAACACACAACCATTTCAAGAGGCAGCGTATGATCAAGAACTGAAGGACACCATCCAAGTAGGACTGAAGGCATTAATGAAAAACAAAGCCCCAGAGACTGATGGGATTCCAATGGAAATATTTCAGCAAGCTGATGACACTGGAAGCATTCATTCATCTATGCCAGCATCCTGTAAGCGATTCATATTTGTACCCATTCCAAAGAAAAGGGACCCAACAAAATGTACAAATTATACAACAATATCATTAATATCACATATAGATAAAATTTTGCTGAAGCTAACTTAAAAAATGATTGCAACAGTATCTTGACAGATCGCTATCAGAACTTCAACTAGATTTAAAAGAGGAAGTGGAACAAGGGATATCATTGCTGACGTCAGATGGTCTTTGTCTGAAAGCAGAGGAAACCAGAAAGATGTTTATTTGTGTTTTATGCACTGCGTAGGAACTGTGTGGATCATAACAAGCTATGGGTAAAATTGAGAAGAGTGGGAATTCAAGAACATTTTGTTGTACTCATGTGGTCCCAAAAATGAACCAGGAGGGAGTTCTATGAACAAGGAAGTACTGCGGGGTTTAAATCAGGAAAAGTGTGCATCAGGGATGTATCCTCCTTATTCAACCCGTATACTGAGTAAATACTCCGAGAAGCTGGACTGCATGAAGAAGAATGTGGTGCAGGATTGCAGGAAGGTTTATTAACCTTTGATATGCAGACAATGCAACTTTACTTTGTGAATGAACATAAAAAGATTGCAACCCTCACTATGGACTACAAGTTAAGGTAAAGAAGACCCAAATCTTTATAACTAGACCAATAGTCAACATCAAGATCAATGGAGAAAAGACTGAAGTTGTCAAGGAATCAATTAATGTTCCTTGGAACTACAACCAATGCTCATGGAGGCAGAAGTCAGGATATAAAACAAAGTATTGCACTGGGCTAATCTGCTGCACAAAACCTCTTTAAAGTGTTGAAGAACAAGATACGAGTTTGAGGTCTGAGGTGTACCTGACCCAAGCCGTGGTATTGCCTTTCTTTCTTTTATTTTTAATTAATCATTTTATTGGGGGCTCTTACAGCTCTTATCACAATCCACACATCAATTGTATCAAGCACATTTTTAATAGCCTCACATGCACGTGAAAGTTGGTCAATGAATAAGGAAGATAGCAGAAGAACTGATGTGTTTGGATTAAGGCATCAGAAAGAATATTGAAAGTACCATGGACTGCCAGCAGAACAAGCAAACGTGTCTTGGAAGAAGTCTATCCAGAATTGCTCCTTCAGAGCAAGCTAGTGAAGCTTTTCCTCGTGCACTTTGGACATGTTAGCAGGAGAGCCCAGTTCCTGGAAAAGGTCATGTTGGTTAAAGTAGAAGGTCAGGGATAAAGATGAAGGCCTTCGAGGGTTGACGGGTTGACGGAGTGGCTGCAGGCGCACATAACATAACAGTAATTGTGAAGAGGGGCAGGACCAGGCATTATTTTGTGTTATTGTACATGAGTCACCGTGAGTCAGAGCTGGCTGGAAGGCACCTACAACAGCAACGTTATCGAAATGACACACTATTTTTGGAACAATTTTGCAGCTAGATTCTTGCCTACAACTAAGTAGATATAAATTTTATGTGATATATAAATACATGTATAAGATAATATACGATATATAATATATGAACTATAATTTTTATAGATCTACTGATGCCATTCTTATTAAACACAAGAAAGTAGTATTTCAAACAAATCTTGTTCTAAATGGAGAGAATAAATATATTCACGTTCTAATAACCCAAGTAAATATACGATTCAGGGTTATCCTGAATTCGCGTTTCAGCACTGATACTGAGTTATTGGGTCAATACAAGCCGTAGTTGGTGTTTGGTTACCAGATACGAATAGTTATATCCTGGGAGTGGGGGTGGGATTGGAGGAAATGAAGAAAGAAGACATGTCGAGCGCCCACTGTGCATGAGACATCAGGTAGAAAGATGGCATGACCTCTCCTTTAGTGCGTGCTTGATTTAGTGTTTGTGGAGTATCTGCCTGCTTTCCAACTTGATCATTTAAAAACGCGAAGGGAGTTAATGCGGTGGTGATATGCAATCCTGGGATCAGTTTGTTCTGGTTGGTGTTCAGCCCCAAACATGACATTTTCCCTTTGTCGTTTAAACTGGTTCACTCAAATGTCTCTGGTTGTCAGACCTCAGTGGAGTCACGTGGTACAACAGATCCCTGTGAAATGTACCTTGGGACAGCGTAGCCCAGGCGAGGGTGATGTGGAGGAGAGAGGTGGGGGGAGGGAAAAATAAATGTTTTGTACGCAAGTGGGTAATATATATGAAATGCTTTTCATATATATAATCTCACTTAAGTTAAATGTCAAAACACCCATATGGTGATATTGTAGTGATTAGGGACAGGAGAAAACTTAAATGAAAGTGAGACATGTTATACTGGTGAGTCTCTTCTGACTCATGTTCACTCCCTGTGTGCTGGAGTAGAGCTATGCTCCGTTGGGTTCTCAATGGCTGATTTTGGGGGAAGTAGATTGCCAGGCCTTTGTTCTGACGTGCTTCCAGGAAGATGCAAACCTTCATCCTTTTGTTTTTTGCCATCTTTAGGTTAGATTTTAGATTCTGTCAGCAACTGATTACGTTAATGGTTTGCACACTCAGGCACGCCAGTTTGTGCACACTCCTTGCCATTGAGTGGATTCCCCTCATAGACACCCAATAGGACAGAGCAGAGCCGATCCTTCAGGTGTCTAAGGCTGTGAATATTTACTGAAGCAGACAGCCTTGTTTTTCTCCTGACAACTGACTGATGGGTTCAAACACCGGACCTTATGGTGATAGCGGTCCAACTCGTAACCCACTATGATACCAGGGCCCTTTTTACAGAGTTATGTAGTAATTCAGGTCTATTATTTGTCCCTCAGAATAAAGGCCTGGTGATCTACTTCAGAAAAAGAAACCACGGAGAATCCTCAGGAGCCTAGTTCTACTGTGGCACACAGGAGTGCCCTGACTCAGAGTCAACTCCCTGGCAACTGATACTGTTTGTCCGGAGGTTTTGATTTCCCCAGTCGCACACGGCATTCCCTAGAGTGCCTGTTGGTATTGACTCTGATACCAGTGGCTGAACTGCTAGGAGGCTTCCTTCTATAACGGCATTCTAGTAAGAGCCGCAGTTTCATGGAATCAGAGAATTAACAACCAGTTTAAAAGAAAAGAACACATTACTTATTTCTTAGTGGGCACTTTGTTTCTGCTAAGAATGATGCCCAAATTGAAAGCAGATAGTGATGACGCCTGTACAGCATGAGGAATTAGTGCCTCTGAATTAATTATACATGCAGACATTTTGAAATGGCAGATGTGCTGTTATATTTTTAGCTTATTAAGACAAACACAAAGAAGAAGGAAATGAAGGAGAAAGACGAGGAGGAAGAGGAGGAGAAGGAGGAGGAGAAGAAGAAGAAGGAGAAGAAGAAAAGGCAAAAAAGAGTGATTTCTCTTTCAAGGGTAGAGTTTTCTAAACAAACATAACATGTGACCTAGAAGTACCTGGTCCGCATACCCAAGAGTCAGGTTGCCTAGGAGCTTGTTGGCTGTTCAGTGCGATGTGTACAAAGCCAGAGCCGACATCCTAGGGATGAGGTCTTTTCTATCCGCTCTTTCTCCAGGACCATCCATCCCCCTGGCAGGAAAAAATAGCAGGTGAAACCAAACCTCAACATATGTGCTTGTAGGAGAATGTGCTTGGTTGTAAATAAAAGTATGTTTGTGTTCATAGAAATACATATACATATATATATATAATGTATGTATAGAAACACTTTGTGCTGCGAAGAAGCTAAACTTAAACATTTGACCCACCTTGTGCTTCTTTCATAATTCTACCATATTTCTACAACTTTACCCGTGAAAGTGCTTCCACATCATGGGTCTGTGTGTATTGTTTTGTCTCGATTCAGAGCTTTGATATCACCGGTGTGGTCAAAGACACACTGAACACCATTGAGCTCCGTTTCCAGTCAGCAGTGAGATATGCAGCCCAGCAGAGCAAAGCTCACAGCAGCTACCAGGTGCCTCCTAACTGCCCGCCGAGTGAGCAGAAAGGTGAATGCCATGTCAACTTCATTAGAAAGGTAACGGCCTGCCCAGTGATGCAGCTTTGGCCTGGAGGACGGGCTGGGGCAGCATGTGAAGTCTTTGCTGAAAGGCTCCAGGGGCATTTCAGACCTTGGGTGTTTATTTTTGCCCCCTTCTGTGGTGTGTGAAAATTGGAATTGAGAAGGAAGAAAGCTTCTTGCATTTCTGTGGACAATCTTCATCAGTCCGGGTTTCTTCCTGATGCACGTTTCAGAAGCAGACATATATGTGACTGATGATGTAACTTCACAGATTATCTGTTAACCTGTAGGCTTATCCACCTTTCCCCAGACTTTGAGGCTCATGTTTATTAATGATTCTTCTTACTAGGAAGCTTTCTGAAAATATTAGTATATTTGCG